TGATGCTACTATTAATTGAAAACTAAATATCGCAAAAACGGCACTTACTCAATGAGTATTGTTGTGGTTGACAAAATGTTACGACGAAATTCGAAAAAAATAAACAATAGTTATCAATTAAAATATTATGAAATCGAGTTTTATGAATTTTTAAGCACCATATTTTTCGAGACGTCCAAACAAAAATCGTACAATGCATTGATACAATATTATTAGCGTGCTAAATTTATTTTTCTAACTATTCTATCAACATTTACTATTATATAATGATCAGTAGCATCGTCTACTTTTATGACAATTATGTTTCTTTAACCAATAATCATCTTCAATTCTAATCTTTGTCTGCAGTTGTATAATTGCTCAGCTTTTTGCAACAAAACAGATAATCGCATAAGAATAGAAGTAAATATAGAGAAATTTAGACGTCAGAGGTCAACGATTGTCAAAGAAGACGGCCTGCAAGAGATGTAGTGTAACGGTCATTTATCATCATGACAACATTGCGGACGACGCTTATACAGCTGCGCTCATAAATGAAAAAGAAATTTTGCTTGACTAATCCAAATGAAAGATAAATAGTTTCTGAAAATTTTCGATGATAGATATTTTCTCAGATTCTGTAAGTAAAATCAAGTATATTACAGTAATTCATAATTTTTATTGTTCTACTTTTTCATTCTCCTTTGTTTTAGGTGTCATTGTCATTAAAATACTTATAGGCGTTACTGATACTGATGCCGATGGTACAAATCTTTTATCAATTCTAGTAAGTGCAGAATTCATTTTTTTAATTATTTTTGTCCCATGTATTTAGATTTTCACATCATCAGACGTCAATCTATGCACTGATTTATGGGAAATCCCAGCAACAGATGAATGATAGTAGAAAAATAAAATCTTTGTGTAGTCTGCCAATAGCTTTTTTATGTATTCTTACGTTAAACAGTTTTTTTGTATAAGAAATTTCTTTTTTTTTGTAAAATTTTGTTTGTTTTTTGTATTGATTATGTTTTTGTTTTGAATACTACATGCAATTTATGTCAGTGGTTATGTAAGATTGTGATATCCTCTGTGATCAAATAAAAGTCCGAAAGTATAAGTATCTGTTGAACTTATTCACGAGTAAACTATTAAATATAGCTATGGTCTACCGAGAATACAGGTGCAGTGAAGTACCGGAATATGCGAAAGTGTAACGCTGTAACGCGTAAAACTAGTTTATATTGTCGCTATAACGCGTAAAATTAGTCTATATCGCCGTTATATCGCGCTATTGCGGACATAGCGGGCGCGAAAGGGGGTCACTATGCGATCGCAATAGCGGCGATATCACGCCACTATTTAGCCGCTATCGATGACAGGGGTCATTGGATATTTTCTCAACTAAAATCAAAGAGAAGAGTTTTAAATAACTTATTAAAAGAAAGAAATAATAAATAAGATTTACAGAGGAATACAGCTCAGATTTGAACTCTTCACCTTCATTTACCCTAAGAAAGTCGTTTTTCCTATAACTTGATTTCTATTGGTTACTGTTCGACCAATAGGATTTCGAGGCAAATGTAGCTCAGATTCGAGTTCTCCACCCCAGAAAATCTAGAAGTATCATCTCTGTGATCGAAAGACAGAGCTCTAATTGTGGACCAGTTAGAGCGTAGACAAAAACAGAACTAATGCCTGTTTAATTATCTTTGCAATAGACGAGTTAGCCTTCTTGTTTCTTTATGTTTCATATACCATTTTGTAGCTCGTGAAATTCTCTATCGGATGGTATATACCAGTTGGAGTTTTATTTGATTACAATAGTGAAATATTTTTACAAAAGTGGGAATAGGTCGATTTTCCTATAGAAAACCATAGGGAAAAATGACTATTTTTGTAATAACTCAGGAACGGCTCGACCAATCATGCTCATCTTCGAATTCGACCGAGATATTATTAAGACTGAACTATGTAGAAAATTTCATCGCAATCGGACTCTCCTTTCAAAAGTTATCGTGTAAACGGACGGCCGGACACACTGGCCGATTCTAGAGTGTACTCACTTTTTTGAGTACACAAAAACGGCGTATTTTAATGTAGAAGAATATTTTTGTCTATGTTTTAGACATGAAATTGAACGAATTATCATTTATGCGTTATGGCAAATATTTAATCTTACTCGTGAAGTGAAAAATTGAAAAAGAAAAATTGTTTTCCTTTTTCTGAAGTTAGCAAACATTGAATTACTCAGAATGATTCATCAGGAAAAGAATACAGAAAAGATTAAATATGTTATTACAGTTGATCTATTTTTGTACATTACAGCGTATAAGTGTTTTGCTAAGTATTCGGTGAAAAACGAGGATGGGTACTCCATTAACTTGAATAAGTAGTTGTTAGAATAATATGAAAAGTATAGATACATACAAAACTGCTCGAACACTGGCAAGTTGTCCTCGCTGGATGAGAAATTTTACGAAGGTAGGGTGTCGTCTAACCTTCCTAGTCGATCTCTTTCTCCTCTTGATTGAAATGGTACTTATTGATTCTTTTTTATCACATTCACTCAAATGTCTTGCAACTAAAAAGTTCATTTCGAATTAGACAACTATATTTGGTATTTATGATGCTTCAATTATATTCATTTTTATTGATGCAAGAAAACATACAGATGTCTATAGAATGATCAAACTTGTTTGGATGTCAAATGAATTCAGCAAACAAAAATTACTAACATATAGATAACCAAGTAAAGGTGATATTCTTATTCTTTTCTCTGCTCTTCTCTTCTCTTCTTTTCTTTTATCTTCATTAAGACGATATAAACTATCAAAACTACCCACATAAATACTTGTTAACATTGAACTGTATAGTGTCAATAACTGCGACAAACAGGTGAAGTATAAATTCAAATAAGAACAGAATAATACTTCCCATGGTTTTTAACTATCACTTATTCTCTCTTTACAACACGCACGCAAACATAGTAAACTCTATATCACAAACTTATGTACGTAGTATTCTTTGTGAATTGTAACTTTTTGGTACGTAGACAGAAGTTTCTCAATGCTTCATTGAACATTAAGATAAATATACATTGTACAGTTTAGTTTCTGCTTAATTCATTAATTAAGTTGGCTTTACTCATTGGAAAGGTTTGAGTAGTTCATCAGCTCTATATAGGTTGCAGAAAGTTAGAAATAAGCCACTATGCACTCGAAAGAGTTTGACTAAAAATATCTATTGGAAAATCGTGTATCTACACATTAAGTATAATAGCTTTTTCTCAGAGAATCCTGTTATCTTTTTTCTCTAACAAAACAGGTAAGAGATAACAGTTTCTCATTAGTTTCTTACTGAAAGAGTTTTCTTTGTTTTCATATAATCTATGCATCGCTACATCTACCGCACACAGAGCTAGAATTAATGCTGTGTCACTCTACACCGAAAATATGCAAGTGTGAACATTTTACAAAATAGACTAGTTACATCTTTTCCTTAATATGTCAGCAAAAAACAACGCTTTTTGTAATGTATCTCTCATAATTCAGCGATAGTATGAGTTGAAAGCGCTGAAGTTTTATGTGACAGTGATGTGTTCGAAGAGAAATAAAATATTTTTAACAAATGTTCGAATCAGTAGAAAGAACTGAGAAGTTATTAGGCAAATATAGTTAAAATCTGAATCGTGCCAAAAAATTACAATCCAGTCATTGGAAAACATGCTGCAGTTCAATCATACTTCAAACCATATGTTGCCATCCTAATATTATCAAAGTTAATTGTTTATCGAAATAAGGTCAGCCTTTGCTTTGCACAGCTGTTCTCTTGTCATTGCATCAAAATTGATTAGAAGATTTATTTCTTTTTCAAGTAAATTGAACAAACCACAATTTTCTTCTTTTCATTCTTTCATCTTTTCCATCAGTTTTAGAATAAATAGAGAGTCGTGCGCCTATGGACCTTTTTCTTTCTATTTTTTTTTGTCGGTGATGATCATCATCATGGTTAAAACAAGCTGTTGCTTTCTCAGTATATAATTTTTTTTTTCTTTTGTCATTCATTACATATAGCGAACAGAAAAATACATAGAGATTGCTTTTTTTTAAAACTTTTTATTATGAGTTTTGTTTGATCAGTTGAATAGCTATTGGTGCATTAAACGGTTGTGTCAAATAAATGTTACTTTTATTTTTAGAATATAATGACTGTGTGTAAAGTGCTTTTATTCGGTTTAAAACCATGTGATATAAGCAGCTGTACCAATGATCAAATACTTGAAACATCACTTCCACGACAACATTCTTTAAGTCAACTCGAGAATACGAAAGGAAATTCATCTTCATTAGATACTGATTATCTCAATTTAGTTATTAAACCTTTGGTAGCAACAAGTAATTCAGTAAGAAGAGATACAATTATGGATAAGTTTTCTATTTTCTAATATGTTGATTTTAGCATTCTTCGACAAGTAACGATATTGGTCATGAATCAAGTCCAATTCGTTTGAAGATTTATGAAACTCCTCAAGGACGTCATCGTATTTGTGTCTCACAAATATTATTACGTACGCATACTGGTGATACGTAATATTTATTTATTTTAATTCTTATTTGTAATGGAAAAGAAACAATAATACGTTCTGTTAAATACGATAGTTTTTTTGATGTTATACATTGTTGTTTGCATTTTTTTATTACGACTCTTTCATAGTATTCGAAATTAGTTTGTCTTTTATAGATACTATGAATCATTTTATATTGATTATTTGTAGTTTAATCAAGTTTTTTTTATGTATTCTATACTATTGAGATATGAATAGAAGAGACGAATGTTTTCATATTTATCATTGTTGTTGATTTGCTCACTATTCATGAGAGAAGAATAAGTACCGCTTTTTTGCGTACTATTTCTTACTTATTTTAGCGAATCACGATGTAAAATCACATTGCTTCGGTTCGATTGATTTATATGCATATTCTAATTTCAATTTTCCTTGTTGCTCATGATAGTTCATGCATATATACTATGGAATCTAACTAACTGGTCAATTTCCGTTTAGTTCGTTTTCCCGTTCTGTTTCATATTTTTTTCGTCTAATATATTAAGTCGATCTGATTACGAAATTAAATAGAAATCGATGAACTATAATTGTCATCAGATGAAAACTTGCCTGAAGACAAAAATATATACAAGGAAAGAAGCTAATAGTACAACTGAAGAGATTCCTGTATCTTCTACATGCTTATTCTTTCTTGTTAGTCGACACACTGTTTATTTCGGTGTTGACAAAGAGCATGTCTCATATGACAATCTTTTATCCTGTATTTTCTCTTGAATTACAAAAAAATCACTAGTGATGAAAGAAAAGGAGAGAGAGAGAGACAATGAAAACAAGAAACGTTCAGCGTAAACTTAGTAGTTAATATCAAAAAGAAATATCTGAACATATATCAGACAATATCAATAGATTTATATAACTATATCATTTTTATTAAGATAGAATAAGTTTTATATTATTCGTTTCCATCTTTTTATATTTTTTTTGGTCGTGATAAAAAATAAGTCAACATTTATCAATCAAAAAGGAAAATACAAAAAATAAAAGATGACAAAAAACTAATATAGATATAATTTAAGAACATTTACTTTTTTCCTTTCTCTTATCAAAACTGACAAAGATAGAAATGTGATTCATTTCCATAGATTTATTATATTTGCAAAATGCTTGAACTTATTTGTACGTCCTTGTTAGGATCTCAATATTTATGTTTATGTAAGTTGAAGAGACAGAGAGGATG